ATATGTTCGTTATAGTAATCATTTTTTGCCTTTTGTTCTTTGAAATTTGAAAATTTTATATAAAAATTAGTTTTCAAAATTAAATTTATAAAATTGTTAACTATGTTATTTAGATTTTTATCATACATTTTGTAAGTCAACAGAGATAAAATGATGCTTTTACATATGTTCTGGAAAATAACAAAAAAAAAAAAACAAAAGTTTTTTGCATTCTGCTCCTACTTTCCAATTTTTCAAAAAAATATACAAAATTATTTTTAGTATATAAAGAAAATTAATATAAGCAATAAGAAATGATTTTCAAACACACAATTATTTAATAAAAAAGAATAAAAACAAGAATGGGTTATAAGAATGTAATGTTTTCTCCATTAAAGAAGAGGAAACAATTCTCTAACATATCTCCTTCCAACTTAACTTATGTTCTTTCTTTAGTATGTCATTTTCGCTCTCTAATGTTTTTTCTATCTAAAATTTTTCCATTTCTTAAAATTTCTCTATAACTTTTCTTTTCGATATTCACTATCTACTACCACTCTTCCCTAACATTACTTTTTCTCTTTTCAATATTCATTATCTAATACCTATCTTCCCTAACACTTGGTTTTTTCTTTCTCTAGCTGGTATTTTCTATGTAATGTATTTTTCTACCTTCACATTTTGTTGGTCAAACATTTCTCCCTACATCTCTAACTTTTAAGAAAATAGAACACAATGGTCAACTATCAAACAGGCTAACAAAAGTCTATAAACAGTTACCTGATCATTATCAAATGAAATTTAAACACTTATGTTTCTATAATCAAAATAATGAGAAATATGACATCTTAAAAAAGGTTATGTGAAATAATGAAAGAAAAAGATAAAAAAAAGGTTAAAAAGATGTACTAAACAAATTACTTTTTAAAAATGAAAATCATGAATAGTAATAGACCACCATAATCTTTTTAAGTTACTATTTTCGCCCAAATTACTCATGAATATTAGTACCATTAATTTCTCTCTCAACTAGTAACTTAAATTTAGTTAGTTTTTGTTTTACATTACAAAATTTGGTTTCTAATGAAAGAAAACAAAAAAATCGAGAAATAAAAGAACACCATATTTACTTAATATAGATGCCACCTTGCCAAATAAAAAAGGATAATAAACGTGTGGCCATCAAAATATAGGGAAAAAATGAATGATTTAATTGCCAAGATACTTGGGAAATGAAAATAATTGCTGCTATACCATGATCATGAATTCCCTGTTTTAAAAGAGGGTAAGAGATATCGAAGGGGGAAAAGGCACTTACAAGTTGCAACCTAGCCATTCAAATTTCTTTCAACAGCTAGAACCTGTTATCCTCCTGTTCTGAATAAATGGGAAAATAGGGAATAATCAAAAGTGGAGCAATGATGTGCATATGACCACTAATTGAAATACTGAAGGACTAAGAAAACTAATTAGTGTGTGGGGGTCTGTTCAAGGAATCTAGGCAGAAAATTGATGAGGATCCCACCAAAAAAATGTATTTTCTTCCATAAATTTGCTACTTTTCTCAACAATAAATATACAAAGTAGAGGAACCTCAATTTCGTTAAAAAAAAAATTACACTAAACCATAGTTCTAAGAGGAAGAATCTGTAAAACATGGTTATCTTCCAAACAAATTTTCCAAAAAAGAAAAAAAGTAATTTTTATGAAACAAAACCGTTTCTTAAGGGAAAATGTTTTACGGAGGAGTTTATAATGAAGTTTTGTTTTAAAATGATAAGAGAGCAAATATACATACACCCGAGAAAGCAAATATACATACACTTGTTGAAATGAAAACATTGTTAACATCGCTTTAACAAAATAAAGACGCGAACTTTTCAATTTAATGGTCAATCACCCGAGAAAGTAAAACAACTTTCTTTTAAAAAAAAATTGAATTGACCTGAAAAAATTGATAAGAAGTTACCCTTCTTTCTCTCCTTTTCATTTCTTCTGCTTTTTTTTTTTTTTTTTTTTTTTCC